CATTATTCACATTCTTACAATTGCCTAGATCCAAATTTCTGAACATGCGATTCTTCTCGTATTAAATAAGATTAACACGATAGCGGCCAGTTTGTACTTCCCCGCTTAATTGTACACATAGTAAGGTAAAACTAACTTTTCTCACGACGGTCTAAACCCGGTGCAAGTTCCTTATTATTTAGTGGGGAATTACGACTGAACTCTCCTAACTATGAAACTTGTCCAAATTTGCAACAATGCATTGTATGCACTTGGACTAATCTGTATGCATGAACATGCCTGCTAGGTCTGAGGTAATGTCTGAGTGATATGACAATGAATGTGTTCCAGAAATGGGTGCGCTTTTCGCTCAGCGTGATATGTGAATTTGGATTGCACTCTACTGCCTCGGTGATGTTTGTTTAGCTGAGTCCAAATGTTATGATTGTTCAAATAGTTCCTCCGTTTTGCTGGAGTGTGGCCATATCATGTTGTTGCTTGAGCGAAGTGGATAACGAAGGCTGCCTTATGTTCAAGTTATTTTAAACCATTAATTGGCTACTCAAATTTCCAGCCACATAGGTAAAGATGCAAGCAACTACGATCAGAGAAGAAAATGTGTTTGAAAGATTCCAGAGCCAATTTTAGTCCATACTGGATGTCAATAGTGCATTTATTTTTGTGCCAATGTCCTATATATTTATTTCACACATTCTTTACAAGGGCTGCGTACGTATATTTCTTGATTAATTCGCACTTTCGGTTATTGTTGATGGCGTACAAATTAGAAGATGCAAGTGCATCAACACTTCTTGTGGTAATATGCTCCGTTAAGCGACCAAAACATTTAATATAATTGCCAAATTTAGCGGACCAATGGACCAATTTGAGCTGTTGTTCATAAACGTGACATTACATCGCTTCTCTGAGTATTCCTGAAAGTTTTGTTTACCCCTTGTGGTAGCAAAGCATGTAGGGATGAGCCGTCTTAACTGATATCAAAGTCAGTGTCGCTTAATGAATGACAGGGTGATTTTCCTTCGCTGTGTATCGTTGTCCGTTGCAGAAAAACACCTGCAAAGTAATTAGTGTGTGGCAGCATTTTGATATCGTAATTGAAGGAAACCGTAGAGATGATGCAGCATGTATGAGTTCCGCTTTTGTTTGTAAGCTAGAAAATAGCCTCCCGTATTTGACTGTACGTCTAAGGGAAGTGTGACTTAAAGATAGTTAAATGTTGTAGACATTCTTCCATGAGTTTCTTATAGATAGACATCGACATATGCAGATGAGTACATTTGAATTAAACGAATTTTTCACTATGATACTGTTTGCTGCGTTGTTTTAAAAATGCTGCGACTCGCAAGAAAATGAACAAGCGCGAAAGTGCAATATATGCATACCCTATCTAGCATTCGTCAGTCCGGGGCTCAGTTACCTGTCAGTCGCAAAGGTCATTGAGCGACTGTGACATGACGCATACCAACGATTCGGAAGTGGTTGTCGTCAGACTGGTATATCCATGATGTTCTCAGCATATTTTCGGCTCAATCTAAAGTTGGGATTGACGTTAGAATATTGCCGGCTAGAGGGTGCAATATTCCTTCAACTTGTTATGTCGAAGAAATCGGCTATAGCAAAAATAAAGTCAACTAATTCCTTTAATAAATGGACAATGAATTTATACGGGTTAACAAACACTGCTTTACGAGTTATGTTGGGTAATTTTTGGGGTTATGAAAGTAACAATAACAAAACAGTTAAGTATATTCGACCATAGCAGCTCACAAGCTTCATAGTACAAACACGATCCGGGAAAGGTCCAGATGTGTTTCCCCCTTCGTGGCTTGACAGTGTCACCCATTCCCTCTGTCCCTTAGCGGTATCAAACTCATTACCGCTAGATACTGAAGCCAACCAGCTTAGGTAACGGAGTCACCGGGAACGGTGGCTGGGCTACATACTTTAGAAGCTAACTGGAATATAGCACGACCTATCTTCCACTGACACACAGATTCTTACCATTGCCGATGAGATTGGCTAGCCTCGGAGGTCATGACCTCCTCTCACTAGACGCTATGTCCGTAGCAATTGAAACCAGGAGAGGCTACCTTTTATATTGCAAAAAAATCCTCTTACGGCCAATGAACTTACTAGGGTGTATTATTAATTACAACTTTGAAATAGCATTATTTAGGGAAGCAGTGCTCCGAATATGTTTCTGTTCTCAACTGCCCTGGTTTCTTTCATTTCTCTTAAATATTTGTTCAACATCCTTTTTAATCAGCCATAGCTCACAGATGAACTAAGAATTATCTGTCAGCTAGAATTTCAGTACGACAATTACTTGAAAACTAGCAAATAGCAAGACAATCGAAGGTTTATAAACCAAGATACCACTCGACAGTTTAAATAATGCAAATCAGTTGCTTCTACTGCATGTTGGGCGAAATAATTAACCTAGTTAGCCATTTAATTTGAGGATGGAAAGTGATGCCGTGCTTCACTGTATTACTGACATACCACAGAATGCGAATAAAATAAAATGGCAATCATTCTCGAATTGGTGCACTGAACCAAAACAGGCCGTTGTGTATTGATCTTGTACACAGGAAAGATCCAGAACCTTCGATGCAACTGCTCCTGGTCGATTAAAAATCGTGCACACGTGAACATCATATATAGCTAACAGCAATGTGGTCATTTTCAATCCATGCTAGCCTGTCGCTTTATGACCCACGTTTAATTAGTGATACATAATCTATGTTGGAAATCCATACCGTAGATGTGAAATGTTTGTCTACCACTTTAATGAACACTTCGTTCACCGTTCCTGCACGACTAACTTTGACAACGTTAAGCAACTAACTGAGGCACGTGTATCATCTGGAACCATCCGGAATTTTTCCCAATCGGATAAAGCTGAGTCAATGCTCATAGAAATCATCATTAGCTTCCTCTAGGGGGTAGTTAATGAGGGCTTAAACAGCAATAACCAGAAAGTATTTGCCTTTACAGCACTATGATGCACGTGCGACTTTCATTTTAATTGATAACAGAGCCTCAATCCTCGATACTGGTGAACTGGGAATACCGGTGAGGTGAAACATATGGTCCCAATGTGCAAATTCCGAGAATAGCAAGTACCGCATTAGCAAAAGTCAATCAGATAAGCTCGACATTTTTCTCTATGGGTGGTTAAACGTGGTAGCATACGTAGTATCCAGAGGAGTATAAAGTGTTATGAAGTGTTGCCCGTTGATCAATCTAAAACCTAGTGCGTGGGTTAGAACAACGAATTTTTAGATGTGATCTAGATTTGAAAAATCTAGCAGTATGTCTTATGAAATCAATACTGGCCTCTTGCTAGTCAAAAAAAGTTTTATTGCAAGGAAAGAAAATGGATTATAGCACAATGTACCGGAATTCGCTTGGTAGTGCTTGATGTTATTTGGCTCAACATTTCACGATGGGTGATTTGTGAGGTGTTCAACGCCTCCAACACTCAATTGGTCGGCCGGATCGACATAACAGTGGGTAGCACGGAAAACATGGGAAATAAGCAAGGTTTCTTTGTGTAATAGGATGGATTCCTGCTGTATGCAGACATAGAAAGTTTTATGAATAGCATAAACACTGGTGTATTTTGCCTGTCTCCATAATGACACTTATTCGTTATCTGGGCAGAGGTTATTGGTGGAAGACTAGTCATTACGGTGACTAACTGCCACTATCAACCAACGATGGTGCTCGTGCTCTGGGGAAGGCAAAATATGGAACAAACACACAATGTGCTGCTTTCACTCGCAAGGTATTAAAGCAGAGTGCCATCCACAACCACAAATGTAAAGATGATACTAAGATACATTATCTCCATCAGTAACTGTTGCCCTGCCTAGCACAAGGGGCGTTGAATCCAGATGGATAATGTCACCATCATGGCTCACTGCGTCTAAGTACACAAATAGCTTCATACCAGTGAGACCCCGTAGCTTCGCGAAGAACGACTTGGATAAACTAAAGTGGATGAAACAACCCGTGTACCATATCACAGATTAAAATCATTCTGCGAACAAGTTTCTAAGCGATTATAATTCCACAATTTCAGCATATTTTGAATACAACTCGGTTTTCGGTTATCTATATTATGGTAGCCTTTTAATGTTACTACAATAAAAACCTACAGAAACTTATTTTTATTTGAAACCTAACTCCACCTGTTGGAAATCCAGCAAGACCGGGCCTGAAAAAGCTCATGTGTCAAGAGTGAAAACTTGTTATAAGGAAATCCTACAAAACCGAATGGTACTAAGAGCCATATGAACTCATAATACCGTACTGTCCAATAGTTCATATCGTAGTTCAGTTCTGACTGGAATTCACACTTTTCCATGATTACATCATGCAAACTACGTTGCTTTGCAGCAACTCTGTTTATGAAGAGTTAAATATAGAAGAAAACAAGTGAAGCTTTCCTTTGGTTATGAAGTGTCTGTATCTGCTTCCGAAAATGGTACATACCAGCCAGCCATGTACATCAAGTGATCCCATTGCGAAGCAGTTTCAATGTCGTATCTAGATTTGGAGTTGTATACCTAGCTTTTTCGTTCGCTTTAATAATTAACTTTAAAATCCCTCTATTTCTATGCTTTATTTGTTGGTTTCACTATGTAAATACAAAAATCAGAGCATTTTTACACGAGTAACTGTGCGTTATGAAGTAAATGCCCATAGATCGTCTACTACTAAGCGGTAATTGCCAATGTCACGTCTAACTATCTCCCGCGCAAATTCGTAAATGACTTTTACATCTCTAGCTCAGAGTGTCATTTATAGTTCATCAAAGAAAGTAAGCAAATTGCCTGATAGAAAGATGGCAGGGAGCACTAAAAGAAATTTTTCTTCGGGTATACTCATATCATGACAAAATGGAATTTATTATAGGGCACCCATAATTAAGTTGTTCAATTTTTATACTAGTAAAGACGCTTTCTAGTAATCTAAAATATTTTTTGTTGCAGGACAGCATATATTCGATCATCGTACGCGTTCTCATAAGCGTTTCTACTGTGATTCTTATGGCCTTGATTCTTTCCTACCACGCATATGATATAATGGTGAGTCACTCATTTATTCCATCAATCACATTTTCTCGAATATCATCCTTAATTGTTCCTTCTGATACGTAACACAAGGGACACACATAACGTTGAAAAAATTTGCCCATAAACAGTGGAAGAATAAGAAAAATTGAAAAAAATGAGCCGTCGTATAGCACTTCTAATTTTGACCCAGGTGGCAATGTCGTAAGGATACCAAAGAGAAGACTTTAAGAGGTCAAAGCAACGTGGTCACGTGGTTGATAAAAAAGATGTAACTTTGTTTTGTCCAGGGCATTAACTTAGCAGAGTAGTTCAAATAGTTTGCCACGTATGTTGGCGTGTTTTATGCCATTTTGGAGTATGCGTTGTAGTGTGATGCAGAGATAGGTTAACCATCTGATATGTAGTTTAAAGAAAAATACCTTTCGGAAACGCGATTGTTAGCAGCGACCTAATTTTGAGTGTAATTCAAATTAAATTTTTCGTAAGACAACCAGAATCACCAAAACCATTCGTTGGCTAACTGATATTAATGAGTTTGATATTATTGCCTAACCAAATTAAAACGGCTATGAAGATGGTAAAGTTAAGCGAATGCAAGTTTACATGCCGCAGTTTCGGTTTACATCTGTACCTAATCAATTATAATATTCCATTTTAACACAGCTGCGACAGTTCATTGCATCAGCGAAAACTCAACGTTGACGATATATCTGAATATGGTGGAGTACTTTAGAATAACTGTACTGCAGTTTGTCAAATTGAGTACCAGTAATCTTTAATAATATGCTGGTTCATGTTAATCCAGTAGTACATTTTCCTCTCAGGTTTGGATAATGCATGTGTATTGAATGACTGAGTACAAATAGATTGTCTAATCGCTAAGAAAAAGTAAACGCCTTGAATAATGATACGGGTTTGATTTTCCTCTATTATAATTTATATTTTGTGAACAACTGCGACATACTCTTTGTGTACATGTAGTTATTTTCAGATCTGAAATAACCTTGGAGTAGCATTGTCATTGGTACATGCATAACCAAAGAAGAAATACGTTAAAGTTCATATAAAATTGCAGGAAAAGCTTGCGTTTATCTCATATCATATTGCAGGAACATTTTCGCGTAGGCTAGAAAAAGAATTTTATTGTTTTAGTAGTATTTGAAATATATATATATATACGAAAATATTAGACACAACCAAGCGATTCTAATCCAGGCACCGCTTATGGAAAACGTTCATACTTACATGCTCTTGATTAATGTACAAACACACTTCTAGTTTTTATTTTTGCTCTTATCGTTAACATTGTTCCGATTAAGCTGGAAGTAGATGACAGCCAGGTAGCGTTTACTTTGGTTTAGTTGGAGTATCGTAAGAAGCAATAGACATAACATGGATTAGGAGGGCAAAAACGAATTTTCCTAAGAAAGTGTTATTGAAAATATGTCAAATTGATAAAAGATAACGATTTCAACAGCTGGCGGACGGCGAGCAGAAAACCAGCTAACAATATCAAAAACTAGCTAACCCTGTAATTATCCCCACTGTGAAAATTTAAAACAGTTGGAGCAGCCGAGGTGCTTTACACAGGTGTCATGAAATGATAACATAAAGGAAGTTGTGACGAAATCCAAACGGTTCAACCTTTTATTAGTTTTATTTAGCAAACACTATTGCGTATTTTATCTAAATGGGTACTATTGATAAAGTAAAAGACTAATTAGGACAAGACTAGTTTGTCCAATCCATGAATGCTTATATGTATCCTTAGACTCTGTGTGGGTCTGTGTGTTAAGTAAGAGCGAAGGATATAACAACACTGCCGGAAAAATGAAAGATGGAGCTGATAAATCGAAGAAAATGGAGAACTACATAGCTGTATACAGAGGCGTTTGCAGGCAGTTTCGACAACTTATCTTTTCCTCTTCTAACCGAAATATCGTGTTGTAATTAACTGCTGGTTGTCTAATATATTCAGAAATAAGCTTTGCAATACGCGACCAGATTGCTCTTATTTAAACGGATAGTGCCCATATGTGACGTAATAAAACCGGCCGACACACGTATAACTAAATAGATAACGTAGATGCAGGTTTTCATAAAGTCCACTACTCGATTCTTAGAACAATGTCATTCATACTATATAAAAGTCCTTAGATGCAATACTTTAATCTAGCGTAGAGCAAACTTCCTTGTCACTTTACTGAGTAAAAAACGAGCAGGCGAAGGCGGAATACTAAACCACCTACCGGCTAGCGAATATGTAACTTTAAATCAACGCTTCCATTCACTGTATACTGCGCAGTGCACATAAATGTTTTTGGACTTATACATAAAGAAATAAATGTTTTATTCCTTGCCAGTTCAAACCACAGTTCAACTGAGGTGACTGCTTAATTTGTACATCGTGATCGTCTAAAATAGTTGGTTGTTCACGTTTTTAGAAAGCGTCCCAAATGGGTTTCTGAAGTGAATGGCAGCTTGATATTATTATAGAGTATAAGAAACGAAGAATAACAACAAATGCAGATTTAGCCGTATGTTCAAATAAAGTAGTAAGGCTATCCGTGGAACTGTCACAAGAGGACCTGTTTTCCATGCGGGTTACACCTGCACTCCGACGATTCAGCTGGCTGTGTGCCGGTGTGGCAAAATATCATGCAAGCTAGCATGTTGCAATTTTTTATGAGCACTGATTTACGTGTGCACTATGGGCGATGAAGCGACAGTCCGATCCCTATTGCGGATCATACAAGTATGGGAATTTTTCTTATTTGCCATCGAGTCAATGCTGATGCGCTCTACATGGGCATAAAGAATTTATATTAAAAGCTGTAATCGTGGCCAACAATGAAATAAACAAGAATATATAAGGGATGAGGAGTCAAAAACATAATAAGTTTTACAATCTCTTACTAATACGCAAAGCAAACTTGGTAGAAATTCATTGCGGACAAACACGACCATGCGGAGACTTTAGCTTGAAAGGCGTAGTACAGCTCCGAAACAGTGCATCAAAAGAGAAGAAGACAACATTGTTTAGACGGAACTGCAGGAGTGATAGGAACAAGAAAATTGTATATACATACGATGGAGTTCATCCATGTGAAGATAAAATTACAAATTCTAGCCAACTTAGGGGATATTGCAACTTTTAGGTGTATCCAAGACTTTTCCCATGCAAATCATCCAGTGTACTCTTCAGGTTAATTGTTGACAAGACATTGTAAATAGTTAAATGAACTTTGAGCATCTATTTGAATTTCAGATAGGTAGAACACTTTTGATTTCTGAGGGAAGTCTATTTCATACCAACGTATATTTTACTAGAACGCAATTTGAGTGGAGCTAAGGACGAGACCATTGAATATGCATTATGCATTCGATGTTTCTTATGTTAAAGCATTTGGTAGTTTGAAACTCAACATGTAACTGAGCTGTACATCTTAAGCCGAATAATAAGCGGTTGGGAAGACACAGAAAAGGTTGGGTCTGCGCAGCTATAACGTGTCCAATTTTATGGCCTTACAACTCGCAAGTTAACTCACCATTTGGGCATATTCAAGCATCCTTTGGCAATAACTGGATGGTTTCCAGTGTTATAATGTCCAAATTCCTCAGATTTCCGTGCACAATTGTACAGTCTTCAAGAAGCGGCCTACCACATTGTAAAGGCTTACAGCCTGAACTCCCTCATGATAAGAGTTTGGTTAATGTAAGCAATGATTTTGCTGACAAAAGCCTGCAAGAATATAACTCACTAAATACATCACAGATAAAGGTATTGGACTGCACCACATACGCACAGGAATTGATTTGTTGTCTATGGTTAGGATGTTCTGTGGAGTATCATACTCGTAGTAAATAGACTACACCTGTCAATGACGAAGTGTAACTTCCAGGATTTACTCCAGTGCTCTAATACTGACAAGTCAGACTGCATAAAGTCTAACGTAGGACTACCTTTCTCAAAAGTTGAAACATGTACCACTTTAACTTTATCAGCAAAAAGGAGTGGCTTCCGGAACTTACTTTCATCAAGAGGACCGTTAAAGTAAATTAAGAATAATAGCTGACCCAACAAGCTTTCTTGAATCACTCCATTAGATATTGATGTGACCTCTGATGTACAGTTACCAATCCTGACTACTTGCCTTTTGTCCTGTAAGTAGGAAGACAACCTCTTTAGAAACGAATTGGTGATACCTTGACACATAATCTTCTGCAGCAAAAGTTGTGTGGGACACGGTAGAAATAATTTTAGATGTCCAGCAATATTACAACGCCAACGCTTCCGGTGTTTCCAGCTTTAGTTACATAATCAAGATAAGCTAACTGACAGATGGTGCATGACCTACCCTTTAAAAAACATGCTGATATTTGCTGATAAATTTCACAGAAATCAAGTGTTTTATTATGCGTTCTTTAACTAATCTCTCCAGGAGTCTGGAAGTAATGGATGTGTGGTGTACTGGGAGTTAATTCTTTATATCTTTCAAAGAAGCACTTTTGTGTCGTGGAATTATAGTTGATTGTTTCCAGTGTTAAGGAAACTCTTCTTTGGTCATAATAAGCGTAGATAAATTAAGCGGAAACAAGAGAATATCTGGGCTTCCTTGTTTGACTAAAGCTGGCGGGATGTTGTCAGGGTCTGGAGATCGTGGTGAACGAACAAATCTGATTAAGTGACATATATCACCAAATTTGAATTCAAACGCTCTTTGTGTGTTGCAGCCTTGATTATTATCTTGGGTTAAGGCTCCTCCCTTGCAACGATACTATAAGTAGACATGAAGTAGTCACTGATAATCGAATATAGGATTTCGCGATCGGTGCTGGCAGTTACATATAGGTTTACAATCGAATTAATATTACTTGCCTTCTTGTTCTCTATACGATCCAAAAGTTTTGAGATGGAGCCTGGCACGTTTGCTTTGTTCAGTAAAATTGCCTACTAGAACATAGCATTTTGTGATAATCATGATGCAACGTTTGTAGCATTTTGGTATGGA